TCTCTCTCTCTCTCTCTCTTTCTCTCTCTTTCTTCTCTCTCTTTCTCTCTCTTTCTCTCTCTCTCTCTCGCTCGCTTGCTCTAGTTCTCTGTCTCACTTTTTCTTTCTGTCTCCTTGTCCCTTCTCCCTTCTTCTCCTGTGTACATCCAGTCTGTCTAATCCATTTACCCATCCTTTCTTGACTTAGCCTTGCTGTCTGAGACAAGCTTTCACAAATTATGTACAAAGAGATTTGCAAAACATTTGAATTTTAGCTACATGTTCAAATTTTCCAAAATATGGAATTCTTTTGAAATTTATCCTGTAGGAAGAGAGTAGAGACCCATGATTTTATTGTTTTTATAGTTAAATTGTTAACATTGTGTGTCAAGAATTTTAATTATTCTTATTGAAAATCAATGTTAATCTTTCCAATACTAAACTTACCGGTATCTAAACATACATGTATACTATATAGTGTATTTTATTTCAGGAGTGTCCTTTAATATCTCTTTTTTGTTTTACATTTCTATAGACAAATTATTCAGAATGATACTTCCCATGTACATGTACATTGTAGTAAGCATTGGTTAATATATTCTTCTTTGAATAATACAACAACATAGAGAGTGTAGTGTGTGTGCGCGTAGAAAGAAAACATTCATATGAATAGTAATCTGTCCAGCACACATGCATATATTTATCTGAAATAGGCTAATCTGCAACATGATATGTTGACTAGACAGGAATGCATATTTGAGTATGTAGGCGGATAAGCTGGCGTTGACATAGGTCACTGAACTGGCATATTGGAATCATAGATGGGTTACAAGGATTCCATTCTTGTCATAGATCAAGCCGACAGCGAGATCTCTCGGAAAGTAATGAGCACTATGTCCAGTAGAATATGGGACTGTAATGACATGTACATGTTGAATAAAAGTGAATAAAAGTGAATAAAAAGGAGATTTGAGAGATTCGTAATAGCAGATCAGTTGAATTGTTCCAAAATAAATTTTTAAAAAAATGTACATGTATTGATGTGTTTCGGTTTGCTTTGACATCTTCAGGTACATCAGTACATGTATTATTAATTCACAATGTAATTGTTTTATTTACCATTTACCGGTACTATTACTATTTCATAGTACTAATGTTCCACCGTATTACCGTGTTTGTTTGTTTTTTTTTTTTTTTGGGGGGGGGGGGTGTACTACAATGCAGATAATTTTAATGTGATTTCGTCTTTTGCACTAGTGCACCATGAGTATTTGATTGCATGTGGATTTGACACCTTATTAATAAAAACTGACAAGTGATTGTAATGTACAGTTGTACAGTGTATACCGTAATGTGTGAGGTTCAAGGTTCATTTTATTTCTTTCTTTCACAACATTTTTACATATAATAATAGAACAAAAAACAGCATAAGAAAAAACAATTTAAGTGCAATTTTAAGTCGATATATAATCCAAATGAAAGAAAGTGGAGACCTTAGAAAAGCTGGGCTTGTAAGAGCAAGGTCCCCATATAACATAATCCATTAATGTTTCACTTTTAAAAATGTGTCAAAGTTATCAAAAACTACACATGATTAAATATGGGGGAAATATTTACAAAAGGGATAGCTTGAAATGTGAAAAGGAGAGGATGAAAATATATACAAAGGGATCAAGAGGAAAAAAGCAAACTGGAACGAGAAAAACAACAAAACAGAGAAAAAAAACAGAGAAAGAAGAAAGTTATATGTATATAGGGGAAAATGGTATTAGGTGTAAAGAAAAAGAAAAAAAAAAAATAGAAGAGAGGAGGGGGGGGGGGGGGGGGGGGGGGCTGAGAGAATGTGAAATGCTGACATTTATATTGAATAATCAAACATAACAAAAACAAAAAGATAATGCACGTTATCAATAACAATTGATAAATTATTTCCTAATATCATTTCTGGTGATATAATTTTTATGTTAATTGTCGACATAGTTACTCAATAAATATAATTTCAATTTGCGTTTTAAAACCAAAGACACTAACAGATCTAGTTACATTGATAGGGAGTGAGTTCCAAAACTTGGGACCAGTACAAGCCAGCGTCTTCAGAGCAAAAGCAGTTCTTACACGTGGAATATGAAGTGCAGTTGCCTGCCTTGTATTATAGCTATGAATTTGATTGTTCTTTCGAAATATTTGTATTAACACATTTGGGAGAGTACCATTTTCAAAACCATACATAATTGTTGATGGTTAATTACAAAATCACTTTGTTTCTTGTACTGGATGGGAAAGGAAGAGTCCATCCTATGGTTTAGTAAGAGGCTTTGTCTCTACTGGTTTGTTGAATGAGTGACGCTTCTTAGTTTGAATATCAACAGGAAACAGATCCTTACGAGGTCAGAGGTTTTCCTAGTGCTACTTCCTGTAGTTAAGACTGTTCATGCATTGTCTTCCTTACCAGGTACGTGGTACGTTCACACTCACAGAATAGCTTTGTTCCCATGGCTTCTTCATTTCCAATATCAGTTTAGTTTTGTTCTGCTCAATTTAATAATTCATTTTCTATTATATTTGAAAGATCCTGCGTGAACAAGATTTGTCATAATGTAAAGCTGTATTAGATTTGTGTTTTCTGTGTAGAAATGTACAATGTACACTGTATCTGTAGCTGTGGGAACAATCCTAAATGAAACTAGAGATAGCTTTCCTCTATTTCCTTTTATTTTTCGATGCTCCCTCGAGGAAGAGTTAAGCTCATGATCTCGGTAAGACGTTTCCTGGGTAATAGCACCAGCACAAACATACAGCATGGCACACATGAAACTTACATTACATAGAATTTTTACCGGTACTTGTGCAGAGAACAAACCGTTATAGTTATTTCAACGTTAGTTACAGATTACGGTAGTTGAACTTGAAGTGAATGAGAATATGGACCTAATGCATGCTGTGCCATGTTGAATGTACATGAAGGTTGGCAACATAAGTATTGGATTGGATGCAGTTTTTTATCTGGTCTATAATTTTGCTGTTTGCAAGGTCAGTGCCAGAATTCAAATGGTTACTTTCACTATGAGATTTTAAACAATGATACAAGACTGGTGACAATTGCTCTGTTCCTGGTTGTATGGAGCCCTGTATAGCTTCTTCTATGTTGTCTTCAAAGAAAGGGTAAGTGCAATCATGGACCTAACGGTTCAAGTAAATTGACCTCTTCCATGTCAGGGAGGCTAGCTGGTCATCTCATTAACAATATAAAGTTATGAACCAGTTGATGATGATGGATGTGTACAATGAAGACCAATATCCTGGATGGTGTTAGATGTGTCAATTGATTTATACTGTACGGTATATGAATTATGTTTAGTTATTTGTTTTTGTGATTGTCTATTGACTATTGATGATATATCAGCTCAGGGAGGTGGGAGGACCTCACTGATCAGCTACATGTAGGCCTGTTCATTGTACAAACAATCAGGGCTTTCTGTGCTTTCTGAGTAGTTAAAAAGAAATATTGAAATGTCTTTATTTCTTTAAGAATCTTTCCAAAATATGAACCTGGCCCAAGAAATGATTTTTAGTGTCGAAGTGTTTGATTTCTGATCATGCAAACAACTCAAACCTGGACAATTTGAAGAACAAATATCTTGTTAATACAGGAACAAGGTGTGGACAAGAATTGTGATGTGTTTGCTATCTACTGTACATGTAGCCATTGCAGTATAACATACTGTACACTTGTAGGATGCCCTCTCCCTTGATCAAGCTTTCAGAATGTTATGTCCACATTGACTTTATGGGTGATTTTGTGCAATACAGCATGTCATAATCTTGTCTTTGTCCCCAGATATTTCATCAAAAATGAACAATCGCTTGATACAGTATGTCCGAGGATTAATGGTGCTTTGCACTACCATCAGTCATACTACTGTACATGTAGTCATGTCCAGAGAGCATTCATTCATGACTAATGTCATACATGTTGTAGGGGAAACAATTGTAGGGAATAGCCTTATAGTGTCTTTTCTGACCTTTCCTTTTTTACCATATTTTTAAAGGCATACATACATTTACATATGGACAAATGAATGTACTGTACACTGTAAAGGGCTTTAGCTTACTTAATTTTTCACTGGAGTTCAGGTCTGGCCTGATGGAGTTTTTTTTTTAAAAGCAGGGGCATATTGTTGGTAATTGGTTAAATGCTTTTCTTTTTTTCTTTTATTGTTATCAAATAATTTCTGGTAGTGGAATGTTATCCTGAATATTATACACAATGTACATGTAGGCATCAAATATGAACATGTGTAGGCCTACAGAATAGAAAGTCATGTCGTGCTTCGGGATTGAACGCGCAATCTTTGCATCTGCAGTCAATTGTTTGCTTTATAATCAAACAATTATGATACCTCTCCAATATGTTTAAAAGACATAACACGATCCTTTAGAAATTTGTGATATTCAAATAGGTAATTTAATTTAAGAGCTTAAAAGGGAAAATAAATTGTACATTTTACAGGCAGTATGGAAGTTGAGTTGGAGTAAACATTTCCTTGGATTCACAATTTTCTTGAGTCTATGAACTTGCATACAAATGTTCATATACATGTACAAATTGTACATGTACAGTACTGTACTTACAAGTTACAAGTCACTTTTACTCATATTTAGAGTGCAACATTCATATGTTAACTTGGTCCACCTCTGAAGAGAAGTAATATTTAAATCTAATGTTTTGAATAACATACCAGGAGGGAACTCCAAAAATAGAGAACGAGTGGTGCCCTGGTGATCAGACCCCTATGAACCCAGGCTGGTAGTCTATGGAACAAAGTCTCTCTCTTCTTTTAATATATTAAATCTACAAACGGCTTTGTAGCCCTCAGTATTGCAAGTGGTTAGGGGAGGATTCATACATTTTGTTGAGATAACCTTTCAAAGCTACCAGACAGAATGCTATATCATCGTTGAGAAATATCATGCTGAGTAATCTCAATCCTAACATGCAATTTTTGTCATTTCCTTTCCAGCCCCCAGCTGAGGTTCAAGCAGCCTCAACAGACAGAGCAGTGGTTGTTATCAAGGTAAGCTTCATTCAGCTCAATCATACAGATCAGTCATTCAATTGAGAAGTAGATTAAACATCCATAGGATGCCAGTATCATATCCTCTCTGCTGCCCTGTCCACCCCCATGCCCCCCACCCCATGTCCACCCCACGCCCTCAACAGTAGTATGAAATATTGCTAATAATATGCAATACTACCACAGGAACATTTGTACACCCATGGAAATGATTGACCAACATGTAATCCAAGTATTGATAGCTAATCAATAGTTCCATTTAAAGGGGTCTCTCTCTCTTCTTCTTCTTTTTTTTTTTTGGGGGGGGGGGGGGAGTTCCAGTGTAGTATGACTTTGATAATGCATCTGCTGCTGTTAGGAAATTTGTGTAGATTTAAGGCTTCACATGTTGTGTACTTGTGTAGTAGAGAACAAAAGGCTTTGTACAAGGGAATGTTTTCCATTGAGGAATGCTGGTCAGTGACAATGATACCAAATACAATGTACAGTATAGGTCAATGAAGACAACATGGGTCATGAGTGGTTGAAAGGGTGGATACCTCTTCCCTGACCGGATAATGTTAATGACAATCAAGAAGTCTTCTTACAAAGGATCATTTGACACAAAGAACAAGCTTGATCATGTAGGATTGCTTGTAAATAGACCAAGGTTGAAGTGTGTTTCAGAGTGTGATCACAAACCCACCTCTTCTAGAAGGAAAGTGTCAGAAGACATTGACTGGTAGACAGCAGGTGTAGACAATGAATTCATGTTTACATGGAGCTCATCATCGGGATTGCTTTGAAGCAGAGTGATACTGTCCTTATGCCCAAGGAGTGTAACCAACAAAAGTGTATCTTGCCTTGATGTTGTCCTTGGTATCTCCTTGAGGATTCACCATTCCAGAGTCTGAACAAAGTCTTCAAACAATGTCATAGTGTAGTGGTGGTTATTTTACCTGACTGTTAAGAAAGCATAAATGCTTGTAAGTAGGACGAGGGATCTGGTAATGATCATTAATAATAATAATAATAATAATATTTAATTTATATAGCGCTTAATACAATAATGCCTTTATACCAAAGGGCACTAGCGCATCGACTTGGTTTCGAACCCGGGTCTCCGGATTAGAAGACCACTGCTCTACCGACCGAGCTATCGCGCCTCCTCGTAGAGATGTGGCAAGAGGAAAAACAAATTAAAACAGATTAATATAATTTCTCCTTTTGATTAAAGATTTGAATGTTAGAGCTGAGTAATGTGGTATCTGAATGATATTTTAAAAGTGTTTTTGTATTTCTTTTTGCATTTACAGAGAGAAGACAGATTATACATATTCAAGAAGGTAAGAAGATATTGTTTATTTTGTCTTAACAGTTTAAAATATTTAAAATATTGTTATTATTATTCATCACTTTCATGAAAATTACAGTTACTTGAATATGGTATAAATGTATGTAAATGTATGTAAATATATGTACATATATACAGTAGGCTTGTGCATGTAGTTAGTGAATTCATTTAATATTTTTTTGATTTTGTTACTTTTAATTTTAGATTATTGATCCTTTAGCGATTAGAATTATCATGAAGTAAATTTGTTTGAATTTCTTTTGCATGAGAATAAATATGAAGCAATGGTTTTGTCTGTAACATATTGATTTATTTCTAATTGATTCATGTATTTTGTTGATATTTTAAAAATGTTTAAATTTTGTGTTTGTTACAGTGCAAGTTACTCGTCATCTGTAAGCCAGTCGGGTTCATTGCGCAGGGTAGCCAACTCTTATGAGACTCCGATAATGTCTAGGAGTGGCCAAGATGAAAGTGAGTTACTACCCCAGACACCACACTCTGCACAACCTGGTCACAGATACTCCACACGATCATCAGCAAGGAGGAGCAATAGACTCCCTGCACAGCAACATGAAGGACAATATGAGAACACACCTTTCCGTGAACCTGCAAAGTCGCATCGGACCAGGCGAGTCACCAAGACCGCAACGCATACGTATTCTGACCAGTCCGGGATGCAGGATAATGCAAATGAAGAGGCTTACAGAAATATTCATGAATCCAGTGTTACTGATCGCTCAGGTGTGATATCAGAGACCAGTCATAGAGAAATGATGACACGTAAAAATCAGGAGAACAGAAGCTTGCAAAATATGTATGGTAAGTATACCATTTATGTTTCCCTTGTAATGTTTTTTTTTTGCTTATACAGGTAGCATTTCACTTAACGTACCGGTAGTTAATTCCTGGCACCGTCTTTTCTTCAGTAAGTAAGACAAGCTAAGCCAGTGAAAAGAAATTGTCATTCTTGTGTTAAAAATTATTAAATGCATAGACCTTTGACTTGGTAATCTGTGTGAAATCAATTTATAAATTTTCTGCAGGCAGTCATTATTTATCTGTTTGTTATTTTATGTTAGGTCTGGATGGAAATGAAAGTGAATTTTCAGGTGAGTCTTTTAATTAAAGAAAATAAATTATTTTTAACACAACAGATGAATTAATAATTTGGCAAATTTATATTATATCTGTTTGTATGGACATGCACACGCGGAAGCTTGTGTATGATATTTACCTTGATGTTAATCTGTTAAATGCTACAGACTGAAATTAAACACATCTAAAATGCATGTAAAATCCAGTCAAAGTTGTCTATATAACTATTACTTTACCTGTGAATAATTTACAGAGTTAAACTTTGATCTTGATTAGCTACTTAGCAGTCGTGAAATGAAAGCAATGCACATTGTACATGTGCGTAATAGAAAAAACATGAATATGTCCACAGTATCATTTCAGTTTATCATGTACTTTCTCTTGTTATCACCATTTCTTGTGTGTATGTGTGTCTGTGTGTACAGATAGTGATATTCCCTCTGGTGGTACAAGTACAACAACCATCACCACCATCACAACTACCACCTCCACAACATGGCTACAACAACAAGGCAACCACTACCACAAACAAGCTGGGCTCTTCCCAATCTTCATGAGGACTCTCTTCTCAATCTTGGTTGTGATAGAGACCATTGTAAGAACAGTGGTTTCCAAGACGATCACAGTCCTCAAATCAGCTTCATCGAGTGTGGGGTCAAAGGTTTCATCAGCAGGGTATTCATTAGGTGAGTTATGATGACTGACTGAGACTGGAAATCAAATAGAGTTATGCTATCACAGATACTAGTATATTTGTAAAGCGCTTTGAGACATTGTATTAAGCGCTATATAAAAGCTAAATATTATTATTATTATTAGAAAGAGAAAGAAATGTTGAAGTGATTGCTCAAAAATATTGCAAACAAGTCGTCAGAGATGCCACTCTAAGTGACTCAAAGGAAAATAAAAAACATTAAACATTAGCTGATAACCTTATTCAGCCTGTTACAAAAATATTGAATTTACTCCTATTTGATAATACTTATCAAGTAAACCTATTTCTCAAAACTTTGCAGTTTCCTTTCTTGCCATTCTCCCATGGGAATTATGATCTTGATTGAAAGACTGATGTCACAGTAGTACATATCCATTGACCTGCGTATTTAAAGGTGGATATGGTTCTGCATAATGACTAGCTTTTGTGCAACCAGAGAATGTATACCGGCATATAATACCTGTATAAATGACTTCTTTTGTAGGAGATCTGTTGATGTGGTTGCTGTCGTGTTTGTGGATGTTAGGACGCAAGGTTTCTGATGCATGCAGTGCTATGTGGTATAATCCTTGGTTCTACAGCTTCCGTAGGTAAGTTTCTAGTATTACCAACGGTTCTACAGCTTTGTGAGGTGAATTCTCCATTGCTTTATCATCACACTTTTTCTTATCTTGGTATAACCACTAAAACAAAAGATTGAATTGAAAGGCATCTTTTACTCCCTTCATTTATTATACCAGTTGGGCTTGATGTTGTGCCTGTGAGTGTGTGTGTGTGGTGGTTATTTTACCTGACTGCTAAGAAAGTGTAATTGCTTGTTAGTGGAGGAGGACCAACTGCTTTAGGTCTTTTCCTGGGGATGAGGATTAATGCCTTACCAAAGGGCACTAGGGCATCGACTTGGTTTCGAACCCTGGTCGCTGGAATACTGCTCTACCAGCTGAGCTATCGCGCCTCCTCTTTGAGGAACAGATGATAAGTATTTGTCGTAGCATAAGTATTGACTCGCTCTTCCAAACTTTTCAATGATGGAAAAGAGGAAAGATGAACAATATTTCCATAATTGTAAATATGTCTAAAAAATTAATCATTTTTTTTCACCTGTTTTCAAAACAGATTACCGTCTATGCATGACTTTGCATGTAATACATGTATGTTTTTCAAAATATGCAATAATATTTTGTTGAAAAGATCAATATGTATTACAAGGATACCAAAGAATTTGTATGTTCATGTATATACTTAATATCTTCTGTGTTTTGTTTTCTGTTACTGTTATGTGTTTATGTTCATTATTGTTATTGCATTTCATTGTTACCAAACAGGGCCTCATGTCAGTATTTCAGTAAATCTAGGAACACTGCAAGTAAATATGTATTTGACAGTAATACGTTTAAAGTGTGGGTCAATATGTTTTGTATAATTGAACAGGGCACCCATTACCACATTGCAACATGGCCCACAGTATGGCAGAGAAAGTGAGGTGTATTCAACAGGTGGTGAATACACGGAAACAACTACCACTACCACAACTATTTTAGAAGAAGAGAGAAGAAGGAGAAGAGCTGGTGGTATTCCATTCTGTTGCTTTTGTCTTCCTTTACTCCTGCTGTTGGGTGAGTTTGAGTAGAAGATGTGTGAAAAATAACATTTTAAAGAAATTCAATGGTGTACCCTCTAGTGTAGGGAACGTGTTTATCCTGAGAGTAAAGAGAGAGTGAAATATATTTCATCACAACTTTTTTATTTATGATAACACCCATATACTTTTGTGAACACTTGCAAATTGTGTTGACTGTGTATGTTGAAAATTTGTATGATTTTAATTGTAATCAAAGTACTTGAGGTTATGAGAATTTTCATAGAATTTGATATTCCCTTGAAAGATCGTTGAAAATATGATTTGTTAGTGAATGCATTATATCTGGATTGGTTTTGAACCCTTAAGATGTGGAGGAGGAAATATTTCAGAATATTGTCTCTAAGCTGGTGAGCAAATTGCAAGTGCCTAGATACATGTACATGTACATGTATGCATATTCTTTCAAAACTGGAAGGAGTGATTCTCCAATGTGTTATTTTTGTCAAAAGTCCCCTGAGATCTTGAAACATATATTTTTGTGAGTATGAAGTGGTTGTTCCTTTATGGAAAGAACTGACTGATTATATTGACTATAGGATTAAGGAGTCCACAATATATGCAGATTTTAGTTATGTCTTTGGTGTTGACATTGGCAGTAAACATGACAAACGTATAACTTATTTGTTTCTCTGTTTTAAATTTTATGTTATTAGATGTAAATTTCAGCAAAGTAACCTAAATTTTCAAGCTTTTATTAATTTTCTAAAAATAAAAAACAAGATTGAATACAAGACTGCTGATAAGAGAGGTAAATTGAGCCTGCACTTTAAAAAATGGACGTGTGAGTTGTAGACCATTGAGGTCCCCCCCCCCCCAACCTCTACATGAGAAAATAACAATATTGTGCAGTTAGTATAGAGACATTTCTTGTGTGTTTGTGTGCGTGTGTGTGTGTGTGTTATGTGATGTTTTGTGTAGTGCTGTGTTGGGTACTTTTATTCCTTTTCACGTTTTTAAAATATGGTTATGGATAGTTTTGTTTGATTGCTTTTTTTGGTAGTATACTGTAGATCGGTTGCTACTATGAAGATATATTGTATGATACACTTTTCATCTGCTACCTAACCTGTACTTTATGTTGTGTTGAATATTCTATTGAATAAAAACACACTAAAACAAAACAAAAAAGGTTATGAGAATTTTCTGTGTAAGAAAAGACACTGATAAGTATTGCATGTTTGTCCCTCTTTGAGACTGTGTTTTGCGTATTTTCTTGATTAATCTCATTCATTTAATTCTTTTTGTTAATTTCCTTTTATTTGCAGCTGTATCGTCAGCAGCAACAGGCAGATATTTCATCTTCCCACTCCTAGCAAGGAATGAAACCAATCAAACAAAGGTAGGTAAAGAAAGAAATTACGAATGAGGAACAAAAAATTGGTTATGTAACAATACCTTCTCAAATTTGTTTTATTTGTAAGTATTGGATCAATAGTGCCTTGTTTTTATGCCTCCGTTACGAAGTAGCCGGAGGCATTATGTTTTTGGGTTGTCCGTCCGTCCGTCCGTAAGTATGTCCGTCCGTACGTACGTCCCGTTCTCGTGATCGCGTTATCTGAAGAACCGATTGATGGATTCCTGCCAAACTTTGGTCATGTATGTATCTTACAGAGCCGGTGAACTGATTAGATTTTGGAGTCACGAGGTCAAAGGTCAAAGGTCACAGGGCTCATTATGTATGCAAAAACAGCTCGTGATCGCGTTATCTGAAGAACCGATTGATGGATTCCTGCCAAACTTTGGTCATGTATGTATCTTACAGAGCCGATGAACTGATTAGATTTTGGAGTCACGAGGTCAAAGGTCAAAGGTCACAGGGCTCATTATGTATGCAAAAACAGCTCGTGATCGTGTTATCTGAAGAACCGATTGATGGATTCCTGCCAAACTTTAGTCATGTATGTATCTTACAGAGCCGATGAACTGATTAGATTATGGGGTCACGAGGTCAAAGGTCAAAGGTCACAGGGCTCATTATGTATGCAAAAACAGCTCGTGATCGCGTTATCTGAAGAACCGATTGATGGATTCCTGCCAAACTTTGGTCATGTATGTTACTTGCAGAGCCGATGAACTGATTAGATTTTGGGTCATGAGGTCAAGGTCAAAGGTCATGCGGCTCATTATGTATGCAAAGATAGCTTGTGAACGCATTCTCATTAGAACTGACAGATGGATTACTATTTAACTCTGGACATCTTGCAGAGCCAATGAACTGAGTAGATTTTAGGGTCATGAGGTCAAAGATCAGAGGGTCATGTATGTACATGAGAAATTGCTTGTAATCACGATATTCTGAGAACCTGTTAATGGATTACAATTGAACTTGAATTTGAAAAATTTCTTCTGTTTTGGTTTTTAAAATTGCTCTATGACGGAGGCATCATTTCGACTGCGCGCAGTTGAAGTTCCATCTAGTTTCCTATAACTTTGTTATGAATTAAGTGATATTGAGCAAAAATGGTGCTTGCATTCATGAATAATCACAATTTATTCATTGTTAAATCTCTTGCAGTATAGATTAGATGGCAATTGGAAGGTATGACTAACATAAGCCAACATTTCTAATTCCCTTCCTCAATTCAATGCAAAAAATGTCAAAACAATACAGGAATCAGGAATTACCTATTATGTAATGTTGAGAATGCTCTTCAAAATAACCACCTTCCTATTGTTGTCTTCAATGTTTTACTTGTAGGGAGAGTCATCTCTTCATCCCATCAACCAGCAATTCATCTTCTTACAAGATAGAATCAATTATTGGTTCACGCCATCCCCACACCCTGATCAAGAACCACCACCAGACCAAGGAGGATTCCTTGGTGCGATGGGGGTAGAGGGGTGTATAAAGTGCCTTAAACAGGATCAGTTGATGGGTTGGATTGATTCAGCCGTACAGAGAGAGGTTGGGGAGCTTCGTGTCCAACTTTATAGCCAGAAAGATCAAATTCTACTCGTAAGTCATTTTAATACACCTCTTTGAGTTTATCTCCCATATATCAAGTATTCTATATCAATAAAGCATTCTGCAATGAATTTAGTATCTTCAGTGATGTTGGTTGAAGGGCTTAATTTAAATTAACTACATATACACATGCTTCTTTTAATTAGCATTTTGAGCATCATCATCAAATTTACGTTATGATCTCAAATGAAAATTACTGAGAAATCTGTGCCCATATTGTTAGGGTGTCGTGGAAAAGTGATTAAATTGTGAAATTGTAGGATAACACTTGCATGATTCTCAGCAGCAAGCTCAAATTTAATGTGCTATCTGTCATAAACATATGTTTTCCCTCATTTTCTGCTATGTTCTCAGCTCCAAGAGCTTCGAGGCCGGCAATCTAAGGAGATTCAAGCTCTTCAAATGCAACTGACAGACACCATAGCGAGCAACTCAAACTCTGCACCAAACAGAGCCACGATGGACCTCATTAATTCATTAGAATCTAAGTTTTCAGACCTCAAAGCAAGCATACGGATGTTACAACTCAAGGTACAAAACATGATGTTAATGATTGCTGGGGGGGGGGGGGGTAAACAATTTGTCCTTAAAGCCACACTGTCCTACTTGTAGCTACTTGCTCCCTCTATATAGAAAACAATGCCTAATCGGTGACCATTGGTCCCCCATGATCCTCTTTTTATTATGTTGATTGAGAGCTGACTTGATGAGATAATCACCTGTCCAGTGACCTTGCAGGGTGCTCTTATCCCTCCTATAAACTTGTACAGATAAGCTTTAAATGATAGCATATACACAATATGATTTGAAGACGCATAGAAAAAACGGCAGTTAAAGATGGAATTGCGTGTACATCGAAAAACATATAATTGAACTTCAATTGTGATATAAGTTCTTCACAATTGCAATATGCTTTAACTAGATGTGGATGAAGTACAAACTCTGCACTTGTTTATCTCACTTCATGTTTGTGAATCTATTCCCATCAGGTTGATTCTGCTGCTGAACAGACCGACAACTTATCTCCTGCCACAGTTAATCTACGCAAAGATTTCACATCTCTAACAGGCAGTTTAGCAGAGCTAAGAGGATCCTTGCAGCGTTTACATACCAAGTGTGTAGCCGATGCTCAACTAGCAAAGTCGTCAAATCGACAGCGGAGAGGAGATATCAATTCATTGAATGCCAACATGCTCACAGTCTCACAGAAAATTGCAGAAGTACAAGGCTTAGAACTCACTCTCGTACAAGTAAAGAGAGAGATGGAGACCTTTTCACAAACAGATGGCCATCATTCCATGCAACTTACATCAGTGGTGGATAACATTAACTCTGTAGAGGCAAGTCTTACAGCAATCCGCCAGGAAATGCGTGACGTTGAGCTTAATGCGACACAGGTTGGATCAAACAGCGGGACGTCTGCTAGCCATTTGTCGGCTTTGTACGAGGAGATGTCTGTCCTGAAGCAGGATATGACAGACATGAAGATAAAACATGTTGGTTATGAGGGTTCTATTGAAGGCCTGGTTAACAAGCATTCATCTCTGTTGAATGCTGCAAAGGTCACAGAGACCGACTTGTCAGAATTGAGAACGGCAGTCAACCAGCTGATGTCTACTGATATTAACAGTATCTTGGAACGGTTGAGTCAGCTCCAAACCAGATTAAACGGTCTTGAAAAGGACAGTAGCCAGCTGCAGCTCAACGTGAACACATTACAGTCATCTAGAACAGTAGTCCAGCAGGGTGATACTGATGCAGCAGTCAATACGGGGGCCATTGATGTCTTGCAGGCCAATCTCAATAAACTTGGCTCTCAGTTTGCCAGTCTGCAAACGGACATTGCTAGTATCCAACTTAAGGTGACAGAATTGAAGACATCTGTCTCACAAACAACCCAGACAGTAGACATCCACTCTGCCAAGCTGCTAGCTTTGAGTAGGAGCATTAGTGCCTTAGAGAAGAGTCTGAATGGTTCAGTGGTGATGCTGTCAGAAGCAGATGGTACATCTCATTCTTTGATCAGCATTAGAGACATGAATGTCCTCAAGGAAGAGATGGATGCAGTGCATGTGGCCATCAGCAAACTTCAGAATGAACTTGCAGGAGAGACTGCTTCAGGTATCACCATAGTAAACTCAGAAATCAACTTATTATCCAGTAAACTAGAGCACCTTGAAGGGAGATTGGATGAAGTCAAACTGGAGGCATCATTGGCTAGCCTTGATGATGCCATTAGAGATGTTACGCAGGGTCAGGCAGGTCTTCAAGACAATGTAGTTAGACTCCAGTTCAACACAGACTTGATCAAAAAGCAGACTTCACGTGCTAATGGTGATACTATCCAACTAAGTGTGCTTGAAACCAGGCTGAATGATCTTGCTTCATCTATTCAAGTCTTGCTGAGTGGTGGATTCTCTGCTGGGTCTACAGGAAGCACCTCCACAGGAAGCACCTCTTCACAGAATGTAGATTGGATGAAGGGAGATATAAATGCCTTGCGTCAGACCGTTGCTGATATCAATGCTATCCTGTTTGTTCAAGACAGCTCTGTTGAATCTTCATCTACCTTCCTAGCCTCCATCCAGGACAGACTCAACTCACTTGATGTAGCTTTGGCTAATCTGAAGATCTCTCAAGAATCAGGAAATGGTGAACTGAAAGCAGCTATTGTAGGACTGCAGGCAGAGATGAACAAGCTTGGGCTAGAGCTTCAGAGACTTGAGACTGCCCAGAAAGAGAGCAGGTATGAATAATTCTACAAGTCATGCTATGAGAAGGTATCATGACTAATTTTCACTTGGCCAAGTTTGAGCTGTAATTCTTTGTGAAAAAATACCTTTCAATTAGCTAGTTTTACTTACAACTTAAGCATGTATGGTACCCTTGTGAAATTATACTTGAATCTGGGATTCTGAAGTGTGCTTAACAACTCTCTGTGCTCTCAGATGGAACAGACCAAAATAAAAACATGGCATATTATGTATAAATGTGTAAACCTGCTAGAAACAAATTGAAGTACTTTTTATGAATCTGATAAGCTGAGCAGTTAAATCTTTGATTCCTTTACAGTGGGGGTTTTGGTGCTGCAGCTGGATTAGCAGGAGGATTAGCAGGAGCTACCCTCGGAGGGGCTGCTTGGGATGATGACCTGTCTAAGCTCAAGGCTAATGTGTCTCAGCTTCAGCAGCAGTATGCTCATCTAGAAGTAGATGTCATCAACTGCTGTAAGAACAAGACAGGGGCAGCTGTAAGTACAACAAGGATTATTACTATTTTATAGCTGTTGATATCATGATATTGGGTTATATATTGGGATTTTGTAGTAATAGTAAATGGACAAGAAGAAGAACGTAGAATGAACAAGTTTTATTTTGCCTTGAATGTTGGAAGGAGCATGTCCCTCTAGACTGCCAGTGAAGCACAGAAGCCTAAATAATTCTTATCAATGAGAAGGGGCATGATATAAGTGCATCAAACTTGTGTCATTGAGAGAAAAGCATTGCAAGAAGAAAGAAGTACAGAAAAAAGTGCCCTTCCCCCTTTTTTTAAGGATGGCAGCAAAATGGCTATTTTTTAACAAGATGCAACACATAAAGAGTCCATAATGATGTCACAGAGGCCAAAAGGTCACTAAATTAGTATTGTTTCTTTTCTTTTGAACGATACAAAAGAAAAAAGGAATGAGTTAGAAAGAAGAAAAAGAGTGGGCAGGGATGCTAAATTTAGATTTTCTTCTTTACATCACCTAAAATTCTTTTGCTTGATGGCTTCTGCATTTTCTCCAATATCTCTGGCATACAATGATATGATAAATTTGTTGTCATTACAGGGAATGCCATGGTTCTTTCCGTTCGTATCTACTGGTGGTAGTGGAGCAGCCGGAGGATCAGCTGCTGCTGGAGGAAGCCTAGATGAAGATGTAAGTTAGTCTAACCCTAACCCTCCATGAAAACTCTTATGATTGATGGCCTGTGTAGGTGTGGATTTAAAAATCAAAATGAGTCTTAAAATATAAAATGAGCTAAAATTCAAGTTAACCTAACTCTTTTAAAAGGGATCGTTTAACAATTTTAAACATGAGATGCACGGCCCTACGTGTTATCAGTGTCTGTGATATGGTGTAATATTGAAGCCCTAAAAAAAATTGCGTTTCAAACTGATCAAGAAGTGCCTCAAAACAGTAAAAATCTTTGAGTGACCGGTTTTACCATACTCGTTTTCCCCAATAGACTGCAGTGTTATGAAAACCGTTTGGCATTTGGCAAATGCAGAATGATCGGCTTGTAAAAGTATGGGGTTCCTGACTGACTTAAAGGTTGCAGCATGAGCTAAATCGAGGATTTGTTTAAAGGATCTAAGGCACAGTTACCGGATCCCTTTAAAGCTCGCATGTTTGAAAGAAACCAAGCACTAGAATTTGCTATCTTAGATATCAATTATTGCTGTGGTCTTGGCACAATTTTTTTATAGTTAAGAGATTAACGTAGTGAATCTGACAACCTTGGTACAAACTACTGAAAAGTAAATTATGAATTGAATTTCTTCTCTTGTATGAGGCAGCAGAATATAAAGGGCCTCTTTCAAACATAAAGAACATTAACATGTAAATTGAAATTGTCTTTGATGTAATAGATTATAATAGAATTTGTTTTGATATTTTCCTCCCAGCGTGTGAAGAGCATTGTGATCACTGCGTTTGACATGTACAATGCTGATAAGACAGGGATGGTGGACTATGCTCTAGAGTCAGCAGGAGGAAGTATCATCAGTATCAGATGCTCCGAGACCTATGCCTTTAAGACTGCCCTCTTTAGTTTGTTTGGGATACCTCTCTGGTATCTGAGTAATTCACCAAGGACAGTCATTCAGGTAAGAGTAGTAAACAGGTATTCAGAGTTTGATTTGATTTGATGATTGGCCTTCAAACTATCTATTCAACTTTACAGTGGCAATTTTATACACAGGTTTCTATAATTTGAACTGCACCAGGTACAACTACAGTCGGCTTTGACCATTTGATAACATTTTTCATTACACGACCAACTTAGAATGCAGTGACCCCCAAAAAAGAATGTGACTATCTGAAGAAACTCACATATGGTCAAAAAATTAATTTGTTTCTTTGTACTCCTGTATTTGTGACCATACTCTCATCTTTAGTTCTATTGTAACATACATGCAATCCTTCTATTAGTTATTATGCTTGATGAATGAACTTGAATTATGTTATTTTATTTTACCGTTACATGCCGTACATGATTGTTATTTTCTTCATGCCACAAAGTTCAACATACATGCAATCATTCTATTAGTTATTATGCTTGATGGATGAACTTGAATTATGTTATGTTATTTTATTGTTACTTCTTAAATCTATTTATATGTAACACCAGTGGATGTGGAGAACCTCTTGACAGAATGGAAATTCTTTTAGGTAATCCTCAGGCGTCCGCTGGTGGCTTTTTCACTGTCTTGTTACTCTTAATGTTATATGCTCTGTGTTGTCATTCCTATTTTGTTTATACATGTACCTGGAAATCAAATAAATTTCAAAAAAAATAAATTGTACTACTATTATTATTTGTCTCTTTATATCTCTAGCCTGATGTACATCCAGGAAACTGTTGGGCTTTCAAAGGAACCCAAGGCTATATTGTGATCCAGCTAGCTGCTGCTATTAAACCCACAGCATTCTCCTTGGAGCACATTCCCAAAGCCTTAGATCCTGCAGGAATAATAGATAGTGCTCCAAAGAACTTTACAGTCTGGGTGAGTTAGTGCTTGTATCTTAAGGTTTATTGAACACCCGTTTGCTCTCTCTCTCTCTCTCTCTCTCTCTCTCTCTCTCTCTCTCTCTCTCTCTCTCGGGTGTTCTGTCAAAGGCAGGTCCAAACACCACAGTCCTCTTTAGTTCTTTCTCTATCCCTCTTTTTTTTTTAAAGCTGTCCTCTTCATTTATGTCATATGACCTGTCATCATCCCAATTCTGGGTCTACCTCATGGTTACATCCTTCCAAGGTATCCCTGAGCATGTTATCCCCCCATAATATGTGTCTTATCCAGTTTTTATTCCATTGTTTTTCTAACGTTCCATCGTTCATTCACTCTCTCTAGTACTTCTTTATTGGTGACTCTTTCCCTGTAACTAATTCCTTCCAATCTTCTCCACAGCCACATTTTCTGTAAGCATAATGATTACATTGACATTGCAGTACTCCCCCTGCCCGCACATACCACACACACCCCACAGTGGTGTGTTTTGCATGACTGAACAGCTGATGATAGTTTGTTCTTTGATTTCTTTTTTCTGCAGGGATTACGAGATGAGTATGATCATGATGGCTACCTGCTTGGTTCCTATGTGTATGATGTAGATAGTAGTCCTCTTCAGTTCTTCCCTGTTCAGGTAAGCATATAACAACTTATTCTTCTCACACGATGCAGTTATTCTTGTCATAAAAAATAGTACTATGTTTTACCTTCGTACATTGACTAGTGTGCTTTATAAATAAAGTCTGATGTATATGTATGTAAGAACAAGCCTAAAATGTTTGGTGCATTCAGGGAAAATCAGTTTACTAATGGACTACTGCAAGGTATCACATATTAAATATAAGCTTATACTGAACCATGACACAATTATGGCAAAAATTCATTTTGAATGTCAACAACACTATTCATGAAATTGATAGGAAAAGTACTATGCATACATATTGTGCATATAATGCAGCATATTGCTAGTGCTTCTTTAGCCATGAAAAGGCAATTGAGCTTTATAGTCTTTTGTCATTTTATGAGAAGGTTGCGAGTAAGATTTTGGGGTGTTTATTGTAGATATGATTAATTAATTCAAAGTTTAATGTGATCGATATCATGTATATCTGTTGAATGTTTTATGCATATTTCTCTCCAATTTATACTTATATAAACATTTATTAGAGCTTTTAATATGTAATTGTTAACTAATTGTTTACAAGAGATACCTTTGTTTGGTTGGATCTCTTTTTCTAATCTGTATCTTATCATGTTTAATTCCTTGTCACAGAATCAAGATTCAGGCCCGATACAATTTGTGGAGCTGAAGATAGGTAGTAACCATGGGAACATGGAGTATACATGTTTGTATCGGTTTAGAGTTCATGGTGTGCTTCACAGATGATAGTGTAAACATCTAAAGCTCATTTCATCTTCCATTCTTTTCTCTCTCGTTTCATCTGGGATGTATATACAGTTTACTAAATTATTCAAACCCCTTGTGAATTTCAATGTCTTTTCTTTGGAACTCAAGAATGAAAGGTGGACTGGTTGAATTAGGGCCTTTGTTTAATAATTTTAGATGTAAGCTTTGATATGTCACATTCTTAAGAAACTAAAGTGAGATAAATCAATTTTTCACAAACTTAAAAAAAATACAAAACATTCTAGGGTATGAATAATGTATTTGTTTACTGTAGATTTATTGTAATGAAATCAGTCTTTATAGTCATGTTATGTGAAGTGTGTTCACAAGCTTGTATTTCCAGGAAGTTTGAATGATTTCACAACAGTGCATGTTCAAAGGAAGGTATCGAGTGATCTTTTCATGCAATATATGAATGGGATTTAATCCAAGAGCATAGATACAGAGCTACTTTCCACAGAATAGAATGTTCTTTGCAGACGGATTGATTAGTTCATTGTTAATGGAACTGAGTGGTTTCTTTATTAAGCTTATTGGGAATGAGAGTATTCAGAAGTCAAACCGGTTTAAAACTTGTTATTACAACTTACACAAGATGTGCTCTATGTAATAGATTTACAATTGAAAGTGTTTCACAACATACTGTTGGAAACTTACCCATAATCTTTGATTCATTCTAAAGTTGTTAACCACAATGGTTGCTGTAAGACATGTATTTAATGTTACATGCATGTGATCTACCTGCTTTCAACTACTTTTGACTCATAGTCTATCAGAGAGTTATTTAGTGTTATGAACTTACATTAGAGACTCAAACAATAAAAAAGACCTTCATTGTGATATATTTCATGAGAAAAATGTAACAGTAATCATCCTTTATAATATTCAGGTATAAACCTCAAAAAATAGTTCTTTTTCAAGCATTAACACTTCAGGCTGGTCTGCGATACTACATCTATGCAAATGATACATGTGTATATACTTGTACATATACAAGCCTACAAGGGCATCACTGTAAATAAATCTTGCAATATGTTTATTACTTGTACATAGTATTATGGAAAGAATATTTTTCCATTCTACTTGTAATGAACCAAAAATGTAAATAGCCAATTGCATTCAGTAGATTTAAGGTACCGTAGGCAGAAAACACCTCTGCATTATTAACACACCTACATGTATCTGATCACATACATGTATTTTATGAAATGTACATTGTAGTTTCTGTGAGGAAAATATTTAGTGCTGTCGCACAAAACCATATCTTGCTTCACTACATATATACAGGTATTACATTAAAAGTAAAGTAAGGAAATGTCTTATACATGTAGTATGCATCTTTAATGTTACCATATCCACAAGAATGAAAGGTTCTCTATACATTGGTTGTATCCATCAGAACATAGCCTTGCTTTGTATGAAAAGATTCAATCTTGGTCTTCTAATCCAAGAAATAGTTACCTTGATGAATTGCCAATTTGATCAAAATCATATCTCTTTGAGTATTATAATAATTTGATAACAATTATAGAGTGCAAACAATATGCTCTGTTGTAACTTCCTCCTCAAAACTCTTACAAAACAAACAGCTATTGCTAGCCATTTCCTATGAATCCATCATTAAATTTTTAACCTCCAAAAAATCCTAAGTATTTATTACGATGAATTGGTAATATCTGTATATAAATGAGCTTCCATATGGGCTTTGTAATGTTAGGAATATTTATTTCTGAACATCTGGCTGAAATAGCGACATTTGTGCAAACTGTTTATTTTTGTGTAAGATATAATAACATGAACATCATTATATTAATCAGGACTTCCTTGTGTGTCAAAACACTATATTTTCATCAAATTGACTTGTTTCGTTTTGTTTGACCAGATTTTCCGATCAAATCTTGCCTGTGCCAAAATGAATGTCTTTTGATACATTAAGTATTAATGATGTTTGGAATAGAATTAATGATTTTGAATCATATATATGTACAGATTGTAATTTATGAAACTGTAAATGCATGTTTATATTAAAATTTGTGTTGAAATATAGGATTAGTGCACGTTTATATGGATAACCTTTGCACAGTAACATTTATAATTTTCTGTGTGCTACCTTTTTGGTTGCTTATATGGTGGGTATATATGGGAAATGTAGTTTATTTGGTTCATATTTTATGTATATTTTGCACACTTAGTAGATTTTTTTTGAAATATATTATATGCAAATTAGAAAAATAGCATTTTTTTGTAAATTTAGAATAGTATTTCACATTTGCTTTGCAATAAGAAACATCATTTCCATGTTATTTTATGATTTAGGTGCAATTCTAAAAAGGAAATATTTTGGGTACCCATAGTATATAGCTTGCCATAAGTTTTTGTTGGCATATGCATTGAAATCTAGATTAATAGAGTCTGAGCATGCTTTGTAAAGTAAGTTAGAGCAGATAATTTTTAATTTTTTTTTTTTTGGTCTGTGTATTCGTTAAAATATCTTATAGCTAAAATCTGGTTCGTTTGATTAATTATTTATTTTGGGGGACTACCAAAGATAAATGTAGAAATCTATTTTAAAACTTAAACAAAACAGTATTACAAATGCTAATACTTTCCTCATGGCTTAACTTCCCTAGTAACTATTTGAACTCCAAAATCATCTTGACATCTTGTGACGTTATCCAAGTGATAATTTGCCCACTATCATTTCTTCTTCTTTATCCCATTATCATAATGATAGCATTCCTTTCATCTCACCAGCCTCTAACAACCTTTTCTTTCATTAATACATTAGCTTCACTACTAATATCATTTCATCACCCTCAATTAGGTAAACACCATCTCACAGACTTTACTCAAAAGATACTAATCGCTTGTATTCTCTTAACGTATATTAGACATTGAACTTGCTTTCAGTCACTTTCTTAAATTTTGCATGTCACTTAACCTTCATTTCTTTTCAAAACATTGTACAGCTATAATTCTTGGGGTTGGTTAGAGTAATCAGGTAGTTATAGTGATCTAACATTAGAATGCTCTCAACTTGAAATGTATTGCATCTATTTAGTTTTGAAAGGACAATCCAACTTGCCAAGGTAAACAAGTTTCTTTTATAACAGAAATGCCAGTATATCTAAGCCTTACTCTTCTACAACTTGAATAGAAGCCATCTTATTTCAAGATGTCAAATACCTGTAGGAATGTAGATTAAAGGTTAGAAAAGCTTGAATGTACTAGTGTCAGGCTAATAGTTCTTCATATCTTAGAGTAAAGGTTAACAGTTAATGGAGACTTTGAGGAATGTTGTACTGTTATAAGTAATGTATCTAATAAACTTGGAAGTTGAAGCTATAGAAATCGTGTGTATATTTGTTTAAGACAAACATGTTATCCGTGTATGTGAGGTAGGGAGTGAGGAAGAATTGAATATGAAACCATTATCAATAAACAAATAGAAGACTTAATGAATGAACAGTTGTTTGAAAAAAAGATAGGTAACAATAATTCTTTAATAGGAACAAATGTAATAACACAAGTATAATATATTTGTTTATATTAATATCTCTGTAAAAAATCTGAATACATTACATTAATACACATTTAAAAAAACGTTATATCCTGCAATGCAAATTAGTGATACATGTGTATAAATAATCAAGTTTACTTCATTTTTTACATATCCTACATCAATCTGCCTAATAATGAAAATGATGTTAATTCTATTTCTAGGATTACCTTCAGATGAAAATATAGAATCATAATAAAATGACCATTGTTTTTCTGTCAATTCAAAACCCATGAATATCTATTATATTATTACAAAGGTGAACTACATGTACACAGAGTCGGAATTTCACTTTAAGAAGATTGTAAATCCAAACAAATAGAATTTCAGGCAGCAATCTATCTATCTCTAATAACATTCATGAAAATAAATAAGTTTCACTTATATGTACATTATCAAAATCAGTATTAAAAAAAAAATCATAAAATACTTGATGAAAGACTTAACAAAAAAACTGGCTCACAATAATTTGATAAAGAAAACATTTACAACTAATGTCACTTAAAATAATACGGCAAGCAACTTAATTGCATTTCATGAATACTATACTAATCATATTAGGGTACACACAGGTGGATGCAATCACAAGTGTTTACATGAAGCCTTTGAATCAACATACTCTAAACTTCATAAGATCAATACAATTCTGGATAACATCAAGAAATACATAATATATATTTACACCACAGTATGCTATATCAGGCAAGTGCCAATGGGCTACATGAATGTGAAATAGCATGACACGAATGATTACAGTGCAGTGTATATATTTTTTCCACCAGAACATGGTAAAATTCACTAAAGAATGTAAAAGGTACTTCATGTGTGATAATTTTGTTTTCTTAAGACACCATCTGTGTGTTAAAGTATATGCCTTCTAGCTCCAAATTACTGATCCATCCATTAAGAGAATCAGAAAGTTTGAACAAGTTAAATAATGCAATAAGATTAAATAAAATCACAAATATAAGAAGAGATTAAAGATGGTTACTGATTCACAGGATTTCCTTCACCATGGGAAATCCTCATCTTTTACGCTGGATAAATATGAAACATATATGAACACGTGAATCACTGAAGTGCTTTTTGTAGAGTTGTCATTGGGAGACTATTCCTTTGCATCAATGATACCTCCGGTAGAAATAGCAAATGTAGCTTCACTCTCTGGCATGTCAGGACTATAGGAGGAAGAAAACACAATCAATAATAATACCATTGCTAGATGGAGAGTTGGCTCAATCAGAGTGAAACTGTTAACATCTATCTCAAAATGTCAATTTTTAAAGCAAATTATTTCATTCACTTTCGATGTGGATCTTATCATCAAATACTTCATACTATTTTTGCAATGCATAATCCCCCCCCCCCTCCCTCGAATATTGTTTAGAAGATGGGAAAATTTATCTAAAAGTTAACAGCTCCCTAAATATTAAATGCAAACTCAGATTGTAATAGCTTGTAAAGCATGTCGTCCAGATTATTATGTGAAACTTACTATTTAAACTGTTTTTGATCAATCCACAATTACGAGAAACCAAACTATAGATACTGTGCACTAAGATATAGATCAATGGTACCTGTCATATATCTTAGCAATCCTTGTCTCCCCTCGTCCCTTCCTTAGACTGATACGTGTGGTAGATGCATGGGCTAAGATATGACCTCCTATCGGCTTCTTAGGGTCAGCTACAAAACTGAAGGAATACAGAGGAGAGATAGATTCTTATCTACTACCAAGCCTGTCAATCTTCTAGTCAGCATAGGAAGTGATAGATGATGAAGCACAGAGATTATAATAGAATCCCTATATACTCATCAACGAGTGCATGATATGATTCTTAGGGTCAGGACAACCCAACATAGTTGTGCTTGTTTATGACTTATTTAAGAGCCTTATATAATATAGTATTTTCCAATAGTACATTATTCTTGCATTATTCTCACTAAGTGGAAGGATCCATTGCATTTTATCTATTTCTTCATTATACACACACAGTATGGAAGTACAGGACCAAGTACTAAAGATAATGGTCATAATGTCAGCTACTAATCAGTTCAATCTTTGCAGTAGTGTTTCTTAAATGACACCTCGTTCACATAATTATACAATTTAAGTGACATTTTGCCATCAAAGTTTTGGGGCTCCCAATGCTTTAAGAGGGGCTGCAATGATCTACTATAACCTTAAATGTATTATTTGCAAGTAGCTTAGTAAGGTTTTTTATGAGCCCAGGGGGGTTTTCACAAAGATCCTAAGATGAACTTATCTCTAAGTTGGACTTAACAATTATGGAAAGCCGTTAGCATCTTTGAAAATATTTTGTAAAGCTTATTTGTACTAGTGTAGAGAAGGGATTAGACCACACTGCAAGGTCACTCAACAGGTGGTTATCTCATCAAATCAGCTCTCAATTAACATAAGAAAAAGAGGATCATGGGGGACCAATGGTCACCGATTAGGCATTGTTTGTTATATAGAGGGCGCAAGTAGCTATAAGTAGTGCAGTCGGCCTTTAAAAGGCATAAGATGTTGATTCAAATCATTCATATTTTTTATTATCATGGGAGATTTCATGTTCTTGATGTGGAATTTATGAAAATTCTAAAATACTTAAATTTTTGCTTTTGGATATATTTCATTATAAGGCTTCAAATGGCTCTTCATAATTTTTAAGTCCAACTTAGAGTTAAGTTCGACTTAGAATCTTTGTGAAACACCCCCTGGTGTTTACTAGCTTACCTCATTGTAGCTCCTGGATCAGACGTCATCTGATTCGTAACAAACACTGCTACATTGTATTCTACGGTATAAAGCAATAAATAATAAATCGATGTATGAAGAAATCAATAGTGGAGGCAGGATGGCTTAGTAGTATAGAGCAGCAGTCTTGCAATAAGAAAGTTCAAGGTTCAAAACCAAGTTGATGCACTACCGCACTTTGGGAAGGCATTAATCCTCATTAGAAGACTTAAATCTGTTAGTCCCCTGGCTGCTTTCTTAGCAGTCATGTAAAACAAAAAGAAGAAAGAACCCCCCCCCCCCCCCAAAAAAAAAAAAAAAAAAAACTAGATTTGACTGCGCGCATTCGAAAGTGATGCCTCCGTCATAGAGCAATTTTACAAACCAAAACGGAAGAAATATTTCAAATTCAAGTTTGGTTGTAATCCATAACAGGTTCTCAGAATATTGTGATTATACAAGCAATTTCTCATATACATGTATGACCCTTTGATCTTTGAACTCATGACCTCAAATGCAAAATACATATATATGCATGTCTTGAGTTTGATGGTAATCCATCCATCGGTTCTAATGATAATGCAATCACAAGCTATTTTTGCATACATAATGAGCCCCATGACCTTTGACCTTGACCCCAAAATCTAATCAATTCATTGGCTCTGCAAGATACATACATAACCTAAGTTTGGCAGGAAACCATCAATCGGTTCTTGAGATAACGCGATCACAAGCTATTTTTGCATACATATTGAGCCCTGTGACCTTTGACCTCGTGACCCCAAAATTTAATCAGTTCATTGGCTCTGCAAGTTACATACATGACCAAAGTTTGGTAGGAATCCATCAGTCAGTTCTTGAGATAACGTGATCACAAGCTTTTTTTGCATACATAATGAGCCCTGTGACCTTTGACCTCGTGACCCCAAAATCTAATCAGTTCATAGGCTCGGCAAGTTACATACATGACCAAAGTTTGGTAGGAATCCATCAGTCGGTTCTTGAGATAACGCGATCACAAGCTATTTTTGCATACATAATGAGCCCCGTGACCTTTGACCTTTGACCTCGTGACCCCAAAATCTAATCAGTTCATTGGCTCTGCAAGTTAAATACATGACCAAAGTTTGGTAGGAATCCATCAGTCGGTTCTTGAGATAACGCGATCACGAGAACGGGACGTACGTATGTACGTACGTACAGACGTACGGACGGACGGACAACCCGAAAACATAATGCCTCCGGCTACTTCGTAACGGAGGCATAAAAACACACACACAAACCAAATTTTGTTTACTCCCATAATTGTGCACATAAATGTTCATGTGCAAACACATTGTAACTATGTGCATATTACTAGCTAACATGGTACAGGTTAAATACCTGAAGAAATATTGCAATTAATAGCTCTCACCAGAAGTGATTAAGACTACTATCACACGAATTGACAGATAACAAACGGTTGCTTATCAATTGTAAAGAAAAAACATACATGTATTAGCTAGTAGTGGTTGATGCTTTTTTATTAAAAACTATAAGATGAATCATACATACAATCATACAATTTCTGGTTAGTTCAACCCATACATATTTGTTAAAGCAACAATGCATACCTTCAGAGATCTTTTGTAGTTTTGAGAGCATTTGAGCCAGTTTTTGTTGTCTATCAGCCAGCTCTCCTCTTCCAGTAAAGTCTACTCTAAACAGAGCCATGATGGAATCAATGATCTGCAACAACAAGTGATTAACATCACGATGAAAAGTATGAAATGTAAATGGATAATGTAGTAGGCCCAATTGAAATCCTAACTGTGGAAACTGAAAAGGGAATTACAGAAACATTTTAATTGTGAACAAACATGCCAAATGTTTTATGTTCTTTGTACTGGATACTTCGATATACCTGAAAGCAAATTGAAAAGTATGTGGACAAGGGTATGTTATGAAGCACTTTGCTTCAAAAGTGAATGGTGCATCGTATGATCATATATGAATAGTTTGCATTTACAGTATTTTGATTCTGACACATAAATAATTGGCTGCCTGAAAGAAAGCCTCGACTGCTATGTATTGTCAACTTTATTAACAGCTTCCTAAATTGCGAGCCGTTGACATTCTGTACTTACCAGTAGTTTGAACACACCAGGTTCTTCATGAAACTTGCCTGCTGCATAGTCCAACAGCTCAAACTGATGCTCACCTTGTAACATAAACATAACAGTAATATAACACCGCCAATCTTTTTAATTTTTTTTAAAAATTACAACACACATTTCAAATTTATCTTGAGCTGTCTTGAAAGTAATAAGACAATGAGTTTAATGGATTAATCTCTGATAGTCATAAATCAGAAGGATTTTCTACATTGAGTGAAGAAAACAAATTCTATACTAATGACTTGATACTTGATACTTGATGAGGTAATCCCTGAAGCAGCTTTTCCAAGCTATACTGGGATGGGATGCGTTGTGACAGCAGGTGAAGGTGCAGACAACAAAAGGGTGTACAATTTCTATACAGTAAAACAGTGACGTGCAAGTAAAACATACCTGACCTGTCATTAGAGTTTAAAATAGGAAGAAAAAAATTCACTCATAGAACAGCTCAACCATGTAAATAAATAAATACTTTGGGAATAGTATCACTGAAGTTAAAAATATAGTAACTAAAAACGATGGATACATGCCTTTTTACATATCATAACAAAATTCTTCAAATTTTTCTTTTTTGTCATATTTTAAAAATAAGTTGCAGAATGCTTTTGAGACTCCTACATCTTAGTATAGTCGTACAAGATAATATCTTCATGCCTGATCAGCCATGTATATTAACCCCTATTCATTGACGGGAAAGAAGACTAATGGATCCAAAGAGATATTCCAAAGAGAGATCTTACTTGTATAAGCCCTTGCATATAAGACATTGTCCAACATAGCACCATGGTCGAGGTTGAACCGATCAGCAATGTCTCTTAGTCGATCAGGTCGACTGATTAAATCAAGTCAAGGTACAACTAATGGCATATAAACATGCTCCATTCTCAATCAATGGCTACATCAAGATTTACATAAAAAACTAAGGTAAATCAAAGGTGACAGTTCATCACCTGAAATCAGAGGATTCATGCTAATCTGTGTATTATTATACTTTTGAATTTCTCTCTTTTTTCCGTAAATTCCTTAAATTTTGTTTTTTACGAAATAGACCATAATTACCAATAAACTCAATTCATTTATTTTTGGCGAAATCTTTCAAAATGTGTTTCATGATATATGGATTAATTTTGCATCACAACCAAAGAATAGGTTGAAATTGTATTTAATTACATTATTATTAAAGAATTAAGATTTGTAAAAAGATGAAATTGTGATAAGCACTTTTGTAGACTGTGCAAGGATCAGGGTATATGAGAATGTTCATGATAATTCAAACAATGGATAAAGATCGAGAGACATTTTTAGACATTTAAAAAGTTAATTTAAAGTCACATGTTCATTATTCCCTAAGCAAAGTATGAACTGATGTTAACAAAGAACAGATTTATATAAGTCTAATAGGAAGGTAGGATATGTAAGGATACAATGTGTTTTCGGTATCAATGAAGATGACCTTTCCTCCTGGGTATCCATTGGATCCAGGAAGCTGTGTACATACACACAGTGTATGAGACAGCTGGGTCTTCCCTGTACGGAACTCTGTCAAACAGGTACACAAATAGGTAAGAACTTGGACTAGCTGAGTCAATATAAGTGTGGAAAGTATTATAAGCTATGATAAAGCAACACATTCAAGGAGACATTATACAAATAATACACAGCAGTCAGGGCATTAGTACGTGTACGCTTTCAACCAATCATTTGATTAGGATCTGCTTCATCATCTTATAATTATTTATGGTAACTTTCTGGTGGATATTTGCCTTTCTCTGAGTGAGAAAAACAGATAAATAGTGAGAGGCAATGAGTACAAAAGAAATGTATGGCAATGAAGATAGAGGGGAGAAGGAATGGTGAACAGAGATCGAGAGAAAGAAACAAAATCTCAAGATTTAAAAAATTGTACAGTGTAAACATGTACATGTGTAGAGAAAACTGTAAGCATTCATGCACAGGCACTTGTGTGAATACATACATGTATACATTTGAAGAAAATTACTACAAAGATATTAATTGAAAACGAAATGATCAAACCCACCTCCGAATGCCTCTGTGATAGCCATACTTTCAATGCCACCGCCAAGAAGTTTACTGTGTGTTTAATAGAGCAAAATACATGTATATAAATCCATTAGGCCTAAATCAGTGCAGCAATTGTGATATAAATTATTTTACTCCCTGAAGGCCTATACTGTTTTATAATAAAAAATTATTCATCAATAAAAGAAAATCTTTTATTCAATTTTAGAAGTTGGTTCACATAAATCTCCAAATTCTTCCACATCTTCATGAGATATCAATATTGTTTATATTCATTTCATCACATCTTTGTTATCAATTTTAGCTGAATGCGACCCGTACGTAGCTCAGTGGTAGAGCAACGGTCTCGTAAGTGGGAGGTCTCAGGTTCAAAACCAAGTCAATGCCCTAGTGCCATTTTGGGAGGCATTAATCTTCATTACCAAGTCCCTCGATCGATCAGAGAGTACTTAAAGCCATCGGTCCACTGGTTGCTAACTTACAAGCGTACACATGCTTTCTTAGCAATCAAGGTTAAACAAACCAAACAAAGCAACGTAGATGTTATTGAGAAAGAGACAAACTTACTCTAGCTCTGTGCTACCAGTAGTAATTCTGAAGACATTTCTTCTCTTTACGCTGTACTCTAGAGCAGTTGTGAAGCCATGGTCCTTAATGAAAGAGGGAAGAGACAGAAACTTATTAATAGTAGCTGATCATTTTATGAAGGAGTATTTATGATTCACAGAATATTAAGACTTTCAATGGACTGGATAAAATCTCTTCAGTTTCAGGAGTAATTTAAAAAGTGTTCAATGCTCTTGTCTTTAATAAGCATGCTTTTATTAAACTTTACAACTTAAACTTTATCCGTAAAAATCCTGCTTAAAGGATGAATAACAATTTATATCAAATAGGCCAATTTTGAAAAAAAAAATAACATTGAAATGCTCAATTTTCATGCACACTCTAAATTTTTCATTAGATTTTACAGCATCAACTTTATTGCCTGAATTTCTATCTAATTAATTGTGACAATGAATTTTGACAGATAATTCTGTAATAAACCAAGGTTGACATTACCTCCAATTTTGATGCTGCCTCTTTGATCTTTTCCATTTTAGCTTCTGATATGCCCTTGATGTCACACATCCTCTTACGCGTGGTCATTATTATACCCTGAAGAATATAGGGGAAAATATTCGTTTATACTGTATGCAAAAAGGTTACCGTTATGATATAAATTATATCACATATCCTTGTTTTTTCCATCATTTATTAATTGAATAATACTTACATAAAAAGCACATTATTATAATGATTACACATAATCTTTACTTATATCACAAAATTAATTATTTGCTATCACATATACTGTTGCAAGTGGTGTATCAGTTTGTTTAAACAAGTTTCTTAATACTTTTCTAATGCTTACATAAATGTTAGTCTCAGAATAGTAAGGATAGGGTATTTCCATAAAACAACTGGAAGGAAGCTCTCAATCCTGTTCTCCATTTGATGAATAGAATTAAAAGTTGTGTTCATCACATGTTTGTGAAACCATTATGCATGGTTTTACCAAGTTCTAGCAAAAAGAAGTAGTTCTTTCATTATTCATATTTCAGGCAGCTTGTCTTGGCCTACTGGAGCTTCCTTCAAATTCAACATCAACAATTCGACTTCTTCATTATCATACTTATGAAAGCAACATGAGAACCTTTTAAAATTTGGTATCATTGTTTTGTAGAATGTTTTGGGGTGAGAGTACTATGATAGAGAACTTGCCCTGATTGTGCATATTCCAGAACATTTCAACTTCTTGATGTCTGCCATGTTCTACAAGAAATAAATCAGAGAAATGCAGTGTAAAAACTTGAAAACAAGATGGTTAACAAAATGAGTCACATATTAAAGTACTTGAAGTGCATTCCTTGTATGTGCATGCAAAATATACTATCTGTATAATCTCTAAATTGTTCCAACCAACCTATTGCTTCATGTATAAAACCACCCAAAGGAATGTCCCAAACATATTTTAACTATGTGAAACTTTCAGTGTTGCCTAGCTGTGCCACGGTTGTAAGGCCTGTACATGTATGTCAAGTAGTTAACCCGGCCCCCCCACTCAGGTTTCGAAATGACCGCATGCGTGTTGCCAAAATGTCCGGTAAAGGGGTACTTTTCGTGCGACAAAGTCTGGCCCGAGAATTGTAAAAAAAGGGGTGTATTTGACTTTTCACCAGGAGATTTCTTTAAAAAGGGGGTGTTTTTCTTTTTTTCTCTCATCTCTTCGGAATCCTGAGAAATTATTCCGAATTTAGGGGGGTACATTGAGCATTTTTCCCGATTTAGGGGGTCTCCAAGGCAGGAAAAGCCCGCGAAAAGCCCGCGAAAGGGGGGTTCGGAAATGTTGGCAGTCCTCAGATAGGGGGTGCTTTCAAAAAGAGGGAACGAGCATATGCGTACCCTAAATAACACTGAGTGGGGGGGGGGGGGCCGGGGTAGTTAACAAGGATATACAGCTACCATTGATCTGATAACAAGTGTGATGAGGAGATGTTAAGAGAAGGTTGGAACTTGGAATGGCAAAATGTAACCTTTCCACCTCCCCTCCTCAAAAAAAAGTAAAAAGGTTATCCCCAAAAGTCCTATAAATAGACAGAGCTCAACTACTATGTATCATCCACATTATAAATCCATGTGAGAGACTGATACAAGTGATAGTCTCCAAAGTGCTGAAAATATATTCAATGGAATCAAAGTTTTTTGCCTGAGAATGATAAGAAGTGTGGCATGTCGTTAAAATATTTTTAAAAAATTGATTATAGCAAGTTCTAAAGTCTCTTTACAAAAAACGGTATGAAGATACAAATAACTCCAATTGCTCGGACACTGTCTCTGAAAAGAGGGGATGGACAACATTTATTTTGGATCAGAAAGACAAAGGGCAAGAGGATAATGAAGAATTTTGCTTCTGAAAGGGATTCACTGGAATAGGAAAACAACTTAAGAATTTATGTATGCACACACTGAATAAAGCTGATTGGCATAGAGTTGTTGCCTGCATTCTCAACACAAAATGGTACCAGAAGAATTATCAAATAAGTAATTCTACTCACGATTCCATGGTTCTGTAACATGTCAATATCTTGGAAGAATGATTCCTGTCATAAATTACAAATTGTAAGATTATCAGTTTTATCAAAAAACAAAAACAGTCATTATATTCAGTCAATATTTACGTATCATTTTGTTTTTTTGAGAACATTTATGAGTGCTAGGATCATAAACCTATATTGGAATAGCAATACTTATATATAGAGTCTATATTGGTCTTTGCATAAAAAATACAAACTAGAAATATTAAAATTGAAATCAAATTTAGTGTTTGTATAATGCATCATAACATTTAAATGAATGTAGATCTATGCATGTATTCTTTGCATCTAATAGTTAGATAAAAGATTCCTTGCAAAATTAGTCCAATTCAAAACCTAGGATTCAATCATATCTTTGTTAGAGGAAGTCTAATAACTAGCTGATGGTCATTAAACATTACTTTATGCAATTTTTCACAATTCATTATTACTGAGTGACCAAGGAGTCCTACATGTATTTGGAATCTTATCTCTAGAGCTAGCTTACCTCATCATCTTCCAGGGTACCATCAATGGTTTCATCAACAACTTGGTCCTGCATGATGCACAGGTCTGTCTGCACTGCTGTAGACTTTTTGGAGTAATGATGCACAGTGTATCAATCCTGTGCAAAAGAGAGAGAGAGAGAGAGAGAGAGAGAGAGAGAGAGACCAAAGCAAAATGTACACACAGTTACAACTACAAGAACAATTAGATCTACAACTTACAGTTAGGCCTAAGTACAGATAGTACAGGCTAGTACAGTTATTTGCTTGCCTTGCCCTTGGCTTTCTTGACTGACTTTTTACAAATTATTTGGCACACCTAACATTAGAGATAACTAAATGATACATCATTAGGTCTACGTTAGAGAAGCAGTCTCAGGGCTCCCCATCACACAGCTGGCTAGCTGCGGCAGGACCCCTCCAGCTCTAGCGCAGCACGCGTACCGTTCAGATACGGTAGAGTACCATACCGCCTACCGCCGGTACGGTACTCTTTTTAATCAAAAGTCTTAGTGGAGTGGTCTACGGTAGATATGAACCGTGTCTAACTGTTAAAAGGCCAATAGAAGTTGCAACTCACCTATATACTCAGACGTTCTTGATTGAAGCTTGAAGTAAGAAATCAAGACAAGAATAAATACAACAAAATTAGGTCTAAAAAAAGTTCTGAATCCGAAATAATCTGTGTACCGCCGGTAAATAATGTATGCAAGATGTGCGCGCCGATCAATTTTGATCGCGATCGATAGCATGAATAATAAGTAAAAGCGCTGTGCTGCATTTTGCATATTATATCGCATACAAGTCGCACCGACAAAAAAAAAGCGCGCAATCGGATATACCAAGCCGCGATACCGTACCTTACCGTGCATGATGGTATTGCACATAATCTCCGGCCGCCTGGCTCTCCCCCCCCCCCTCCCCTCCCCTCCCGGAACCTCCAAAAATGACGTGCGAGTGAGCAAACAACAAAGGACAGCTAGGTTAACATATTCATGTTTAACCCTCTAAAACGATAAACAATACAATTGATATTATTCAAGGGTAAAGTGTGTGCCAGGTATTTTGTGTGTGTGCGTGTGGATGTAGCTAATAATGAATGGCGACAATGATTTTGTTAACTTATCATATGCATACTAGGTCGAATCATTATATTCGATCCAACTTCGATCTTGTTACTGACGTACATGAGTTTTGCACCATTCAGTACAAACCTAGTAGGCCTAGTCCCAGTGGGTCACTCTACACAAAATGCCACCCGCCCGTGTCCATCAATGATCTGAAATGGACCCTAATGGCGTATCGCACTTTTTCTGAAATGACCCTTTTTAAAGAAAACGTTGAAACCTGTGCTACTGAAAAGGTACCCTTTTTTTGGTTTTAGTGCGATCAGTGCTTGAAAAACACCAAGATGAAAAGAAGTTTTTAGCGGGAGCCTGGTAGACAGGGAGAGAGAGAGCCGGAGAAAAAAAAAACACTTTAAAAGCAAAGTACAAAGTCGATTTTTACCCCACAATTATTTTTAGCCCCGCTCTTACTCTCTTTCCTTATAACTCTAGATTGATTTTCTATCCAGTTTGGTATGAAAGGGGTATTCATTCCATTTTTCAATTACATAATGGTTTTGGTAACCCCAAAACATTTGAAGACCTCGTAATTGAGTTTGACATTCCTATTAGAGACCAAAGAAAATATGACTCCCTCATGAATGGCATATTTTTGGAGTGGTTTGATAATTCTCTTAATGTGGATGAGAATATATTTAATCAAATTTTTAAAGATCTATTAAGTCAAAAGAAAATGTCTAAGTATACATACAATATTTTGCTAAAGAAATATAGTGTACTAATGCCAAAAGGGAGAATAAATGGGAGGAACACTTTGGCCATCAACCCAAAGAGAAGGATTGGTCGATTATTCATACGAGTAACTTTTGTTGCACAATTGAGACTCAGTTAAGGAGTTTTTATTTCAAAATTTTCCATAATGCTATTGGTTTTAATGCATTTTTGTTCAAGATTGGGAGAAAGGAGTCTGCTAATTGTTATTTTTGTTCAGATTTTCCAGAAACTTTAGATCACTTGTTTTGTGACTGTAGGAGAGTTGTACCACTGTGGGAAAAATTGGTGGATAAGATTAACACTGGCACTGATCACAGTTATAATCTGACTCTGTCAAAATTTAATTTTTTGTTTGGGATACAGTCAAGGGACAAATACGCCTCTTGTATAAATTTTCTCTGTTTATGTTTAAAATATTACATTTACTCATGTAGGTTTCAGGGAAAAGAACTTATTTTCGAAGCATTTGTTTCAATGGTAAAGTTCAAACAAAAAATAGAATATAAAATTGCCCAAAAGAAAAATAAGTTACAAGTCCATTTTAAGAAATGGTCTATCAAGTTTAACTGAAATTTAGGAGTAGTCTTGCAAAGCTCTGTTGTCATAAACATCTTCATTGGCTTTTTGAAATGTAAACTTGCCCTCTGGGAAAGTATGTGAGTGTGAGTGTGTGTGTGTGTGTGTGTGTGTGCGTGTGTGCGTGTTTATGGGTGCATGAGTGCGTGCCTGTTTTGTAGTTTTAAGATGATATTATATTTTATATTGCTGCTTTTACTCTGTTAATTTTTCAGAAAAAACAATAAAAACAGAAAGAAAGAAAAAAAAAAAAAAAACTCTAGATTGATGCGTGTGAACTATCCAAGGAGGGGTGAAGCGGAATTCACTGGTTTTAATTTAAAGTTTCTCTCTGTCACCCTCCTTTTGCATCTCTCTCTCTCTCTCTCTCTCTCTTTCTCTTTTATTTTTTTCTTTGTCTTTATTTTAAATTTTTTATTGTGCAATTGAGAAGAATAGCCACTTCAGGTATATTGTTGGGGGCTAGTAACACCATTCCTGCATGTAGAAGAATCCCAAGAAGACTTACATTATCAAATTGATTTGCTGAAGCTCAGGTGATGTTTTGTTTAATTAATCTATTGAAAACAAAGGCAACAAAACATTTCTTATGATACATTATCATGTGTTTCTCGCTCTTTTCTCTCTTTTTCTCTCTCTCTCTCTCTTTCTTTCTCTTTCTCTCACCTCTCTTCTCTTCTTCTTCTTATTTGTTTTGTATTTTCTAATGCTTGATCTGTTATTTCATCTCATCACTCTCTCTCTCTCTCTCTCTCTGTCTCCCTCGCTCTGTTATGTAAATTCCTCTATCTAATTACCCCTTAATAATTGAGAGGTAAATAATAAGAAACAGTTACTCGGCAAAAATTGCACATCAAATTGAAATTCAAAGTTGCCAATATCAAAATCATTTTTTGCAGAATCATTGTTTGTGCCATCCGTCAAGCATCGCTCTTTGCCAGCCCTGGATGTCCGTTTGTTTGTATAGCGCGTTCGTATCACAGTCACTGACAAATTGACCTCCACCCTGCACCACACCACACCTCCCCATATCAAACCTTCATTGTGACCTCACCTTCCTACAGACTAGACGTATAGCTTGGTATATCACACATCATCGTCAGGTATGTATTACTGTCTCTTTTATACGACTGATGTGACTTAATATTATTGACGTGTGTTTCTATATCACTTGGCCTAATCTTGTTATGACATCAAATGTCCCTACCTCTTCTCTTCCATTCATGATTCCGTGGTGAAAAAGCGCTCTTTAGTTATGCTTAATTCATTCACAGTTCTGCATGTAAAAAAGAAATAAGAATATTACATCACTTGTTGCTATGTTCGACAGGCGTCAGTCTCCATTGAAGTGTATTACGTAGTGGGTGTTACGAAACGTGTAGATCGGTACTATATATATATTTCCAATCACCATTCTTACCTGTAACGATAATGCAGGAATCTCGAGTTAAATGTAGGTGAAAGGTTGCCTCAAGCATACTGAGTACAGTGAGGGTCATGCGTATGAATGTAGGTCGAGGTTCGCATGACTGTGCGTGCTGCTAGATCCGTATTGTACAACAATCATACTCACGAATGGAACTATATCGAACATAAATGTAGCTCATAAAAATGTGCATCAAATATATTTTCCGATAATAAGTAAACGTATGGAATATCAACATGTAGTTGGGACTACATGAAAGGTGAATGCCTATAAAAAAGCCTTCATATCTCTCGAAATACGATTATCTTTGTGTTCGTAAAATATTTGAAAAAAAGTAAATATACAAATTCAAATGCACCTGTATTGCATGGCAGATAACCTTTCGAAAGGAATCGGTCAGGAGTGGTGAGGATTAAAACAGAGAAAATGTTTTAAAATGAGACAGAGATTGATACATAGATATAATATATTTCCGGATAGGGAGATATTTAGATAGATATATAGATAGGTATAGTTAGAGAGAGAGAGAGGGAGAAATATATAGAGAGAGAAAAAAAAGAGAGAGAGAGAGAGGGGGAGGGAGATATAGAGAGAACGATTGAGAATTAGAGGTAAGAGATGAAGAAGAAGAAGAAAAATGACCAATCCTTTCAGGCAGTCTGATAACACTTATAAATGGACATTGAACCCTGTCCATGCAGCGTTATCGATACGAACCCTGTATACTGGTAAAGTCCAATCATTAAATGCTTCTTTTATCATAATGGATTAAAGCTTGATAAACACGAGAATCAAACATCCTATTTGTCAGATAATTAGTCGTGCATGGTATTAGACTATGACTGTAAGACTTGTCTCGGTATGTATAACTGTAATACTGTATCATGGTGACTCCTTCCTATCCATATTTCTCTACCTTATATCGATGCCTTTGGATGGCAGTATCTTCATGAAAAATACTGTTATTGTAATACCTCAGTCATATCGCAGAACCGACACCACACCGAATCTTAATCGACCAATTATTTGTCCATTCGTCGTAATATAATTGTTTGTTCGGTCTGTTGTCTGTTTGGTGTCGGCTTCGTTGGTGTGCCCGCGGTATCAATGTGACGCAATACTAGCCTTTAAATGAGTGTAGTGATCAGCTCAGGTGCTGCTTCATGTCCGTCCGGGACACAAAATTATCACATCTCCTAAAAAAGGTATAGCTTGCACTGAAATTCTAAAAACCTTATTAAGAAGTAAACTTACTTGACTTACATTTTGCAGTTCGAAGAAATTGTCAATGTCAGTTAGTTCAGACAGAAACGACACAAAAAAGTAGCAAATAGTCGAGAGTCCATTTCCATCCGTCTGTCTCTGACACTGAACATTAATGAATTCTATTTCTCGTAGGTAACTATATGGCAATCAAAGTTTATTTGAACCGTTTCACAATGAAACTTAAAAAGCTCTGTACAACCATTATTTGATATCTCCAGGCCTTCAAACTTTAAAAATATGTATTAAAAAAATATAATTATTGTTACATAAAGATATATGATAATAAATAATGTTCGTCCATGACAATCGATCAGGATCATGACAGTTTGTCTAACGCTGTTTTAAACGCTGTTTTTTTTTTCTCCCTGAATAGATCATGAATATCTTACCAAAAGGCAATAATTAACTGTCTTTGACAAGAATCTCGGTGGATAACCGAAACCACTAATCCATACCTCATTATTGATAGCTTATTTTCATCTGTCTATACTATTCTTTATAGACATGGCTCCCCTCATCACCCTGATCACTGGATGCTCCACGGGCATCGGTCTTACCACAGCCGTCAAGATGGCCAAAGACGCGAAGAAATACATTGTATACGCCACCATGAGGAATCTGGCTAAGAAAGGAGACCTTGAGCAGGCTGCAGGCAGCGCCCTCAACGATACCCTATTTGTTCGGCAGTTAGATATCACTGAAGAGGAGTCGATTGTGGCTATTGTTAAACAAATAAAAGAAAACACGGCAAGATCGATATTTTGGGTAAGCCTTTTTTTCGCCTAATAATAGACTTCTTAAATGTTATATTATAATACTTGTCTCTTTTTGTAATGTATGGATCGATGAAGCTAAAATGAAAGATTCTAAGAAATCAGTTTATCAATTTTTTCCATTACACCAGGAGGAAAAACAATCAACATCGACAGATAAGGGGATGGGAAATACATAAAGGAGGACAGTTCTGACAATGTTATGAGAAAAAAAAATACTTATAAAGGGTCGGATATATTCAACTTATTATAAGTAAGTCAAGGTACTAGCTTTTTAGTATAAATAAACAAAGTTTGTTGTTGATTTGCGCATAAATTTGTTTTTTTTTTAAATGTTTTTCTTCTTTAGTAAACAACGCAGCGTTTGGATGGATGGGTCCTTTGGAAGAGATGACAATGACTCATATGAGAAATATGTCTGAAACCAACATCGTAGGAACATTTCGGATGACCCAGGAAGTACTTCCTCCCATGAAACAACAGAAGTCAGGTCGTATAGTTAGTATCAGCAGTCTGGCCGGCATTAATGGTAAGATTTTTATGAGAATGTACGGATACGAAGAGGGACGTGTGCTTCCAACTCCCCATCCTTTTGAATCTGCAACTATTTTTTGATATTTTTCAAACTTTAGTCCCCAAAACTGAACTTTTTCTACCTAAGATTTGAGTTAAATATAATTTAAATGTTATTGTGTTTTATTATTTTGTTTGATGAATGAATTAAATATTTTGTTATCCTTTGTTAATTGTTTTGTAAATCTTTACACAGTGAAAACCAAAAATCAATTTTTTAAAGCCTATTTCCGTTGGCATTGTAGTACAGAATCCCTTAAACAGGGTTCCACTAAATTTCCTATTATTGTGACTCTATTATTGGCTTTTATATAACCCTTAGCTTATATCATAAACATAAAACACATTTTCTTTTCAGGGGCACAACGTCATCATTAATAATTTTCTATGTGTACGCATCAAAATAATGGTACATAATATACATGATTGTACAGTTAATTTATTT